TTTAATGAAGGTATGCATCGATGCACTACACCATGTATCGATGCATCCCTTGTCGGGTGCATCGATGCATTGTCTATGTATCGGTGCATAAATCTCATTCGATGTTTGTATTTTAAGCGGGTGCATCGATGCACTCCTTATGCATCGATGCACTATGTCATTCGATGTTTCCATTTTTAATGGGTGCATCGATGCACTTCCTGTGCATCAATACAGACTAAACTATTTCTGGAAATACCCTTGATGCATCGGTACACATTGAATGTGCATCGATGTACATAGCCCAGAAATGTCATTTTAAGCTCAAAACCCATCAACTCTTCACTCAATTCTTCTATTTTAAGCCTCTATCATGTCATTAAACTGAACTACCATTACTTAAACCAACTTATATCCATATAAACCCTCTTTATCTTCCATATCTCATCATGATTCTTAAATTTTAAGAATCTTACCAAACTTTCAACTTTGTTATTAATCATTTCTAACTTCACAAATCTCTTATTCTTATTGATGGCAAGTCAAATTCAACTTTCAATTCTTATTATAAACTCTATTTCAAGATTTTACTCAATAACTCCAAACCTTTAATCTTCCCTAACTCCTTTATCTTTTGATTTTAAGATAACTTAAGCTTTCCTTAAGCTTAGTTATACTCTAATGATCATAACCCAACCTTAATTTAACTAGAAATTATCTAAATAGAAAACTCATGTTTGCTTGACTTCACACGTGAAGAAGAAGAGAAAGGAAGAGAACTCTGGAAACCTCTAAACTTTGTTTCTTTCCTTCCACGTGTATCTATATATACCATTATTAAATATTTTTTCTTTGCAATTGACCATACTATCCTTTCATTCCTCATTCTTTTCAAATTTAATCCTGCACCACATTTCTCATATAAGTCTTTAAACCATTCAATTATTCTAATTAAATCTTCAAATTTTGAAATCTTATAATTTAGTCACTAACTCGGTATTGAGGATGTTATAGAAATGATGAATGCTATGCTAGGAAGTTCTGGGTTGTCATAGAACATGTGGAGGGAAACTGTCTTATCAGCAAATTACCTTTTAAATAATAAGGTGCCCCGCAAGAAAAAGACAAGACACCATATGAGTTGTGGATAGGCAAGAAACCTTCCTACAATTACTTGAAAGTGTGGGGGTGTCTTGCAAAGGTAATGGCTCCTTTATCAAAGCAAATGAAAATAGGTCCTAAAACAGTGGACTGTATTTTCATTGGCTATGCTCACCACAGTAATGCATATCGATTTCTTGTGCATGAATCAAAGAATCCAGAAATTCACAAGAATACGATATTAAAATCTAAAAATGTCTAATTCTTTGAAAATATATTTCCTTGTAAAATTAGAGAAGTTGGCTCAAGTTCAAGGAAACGAACTTTAGAAACTATTAATGAAAATAGTCAAGACTTACAACAAGAGGTTGAAGTCGAGATAGAGCCAAGAATAAGTAAAAATGGCACGGGTAGAAAAATCCTTTAGATCGGATTTTCTAACCTATATGCTAGAGACTGAACCTGTAACTTAGCGAAACTATACATTCATCTGAAAGTAATTTTTGGAAAGATGCCATCAAAAGTGAAATTGATTCCATCATGCAAAATCATACGTGGGAATTAGTGGATCTTCCTCATGGAATTAAACCATTAAATTCTAAATGGATTTTCAAACAAAAAATGAAAACAGATGGAACGATTGATAAGTATAAGGCCAGATTGGTTATTAAAGGGTACCGACAAAAGGAAGGTCTTGATTACTTTGATACATATTCACCCGTATCAAGAATAACTTCTATAAGAATGATACTTGCAATTGCCCCTTTACGAAATTTAGAAGTACATCAAATGAATGTTAAGACCGCTTTTCTTAATAGAGACCTTGATGAGGAAATTTACATGGAACAACCTGAGGGTTATGTAGCTCCAAGACAAGAAAAGAAAGTATGTAAGTTGGTAAAGTCATTATATGGACTTAAGCAAGCACCAAACCAATGACATGAAAAGTTTGATAGTGTTATGATATCAAATGGATTTAAAATAAATGAGTGTGACAAATGTGTGTATGTCAAAAATCACTGTTGATGGATATGTAATCCTATGCTTATATGTTGACGATATACTTATCATTGGAATGATAAAACGTACCAAAAATATGTTAAATTTAAAATTTGACATGAAAGATATGGGACTTGCTGACATGATTTTGGGCATCCAAATCAAAAGGTCATATAAATCAAAAGGTCATTTGAAGGTCTCATATTGACTCAGTCACACTATGTAGACAAGATTCTTGAAAAATTTGGCAAGGATGATTATGGTGTAACCAAAACTCCGATAGATACAAGTCAACATCTATCTAAAAATAAAGGTGAGAGTGTTAATCAAGTGGAATATACAAGAATCATAGGCAGTCTAATGTACCTTATGAGTTGTACTAGAACTGATATTGCTTTCACTGTAAGCAGTTTAAGCAGATTTACAAGCAATCCAGGGGAGAAACACTGGAAAACAATTATAAGGGTATTGAGATATCTCAAATATACTCAAAACTATGGATTGCATTATTCTAGAGATCCTGCTGTGTTAGAAGGATTCTCTTATGCTAGTTGGATATCTGATATTCAAGATACCAAAGGCATAAGTGGTTATATTTTCACTTTCGGAAGAGGAGTTGTGTCATGGAAATCCTCAAGACAAACAATTATAACCAGATCCACGATGGAATCTGAGTTTGTAGCCTTGGACAAAACTTGAGAAGAGGCATAATGGTTACGAAATTTTTTGGATGATATTCCTGAATGGCCAAAGTCTGTACCCAAAATATGTATATATTATGATAACCAAGCATCAATTGGTAGAGCACAAAATGTAATGTATAATGGTAAGTCGAGACACATACGACGTCGACACAATACCATTAGACAACTGATATTAACTGGAGTTATTTCTATTGATTTTGTAAGATAAAAAGATCTGCTAACCAAAGGGTTGAATCGAGATCAAGTTGATAAAACATCAAGAGGAATGGGACTAAAGCACATGAATTGTTAAGGCTCTATATGAAGGAAAACCCAACCTAGTTGACTGGAGATCCCAAGATCTAGGTTCAATGGGACAACCTACTTGCATAGACCTGGTGAGGTCATTGTGGGGGGTTTTCATCCCCAAACCTATTCCTATGATGAAAACCGTGGCTAAAATGTGGATAAAATTAAGCAATGCTTTTAATGACCAATATGTATTTCGTTGAACCAAACAACATAAGTCACCTATGTGAGAGTGAAGTGGAACCGCTTCAAAGAGACTATTGGGGTATAGTTCTCTAAGCTCTTAGAGAACCATAAGATATCCACGGCTATATGGACATAACCATGAGAACCAAACTCTTGTCAGTAAGATATTTGTGTGAGGTATGTCATCGCTTACGCAAACGGCAAGACAGTTTAAGGACATCATGTCTACTGGACAGATGGTAAGGTAAACATATTTTCACAAGGGAAGGTTGAAAGGGGGACGCTTACCTATCCTATGCAAATATTGAACGTAGAATCTATCACCACATCGAGTTAATGTTTTAAACAATCAAATTCATTCATGTAGGGTATTGTTGGAAAAAATATGAATGAATTGATCATGACTATTCATGAAAAATAAATTAAGTCTTTTCATGAAAAATAGTTATTTCATTTCACCCCAAAATTCATGTCTTTTCATGTTAACCTTTTGATCAAAAGGTTATAATTTTTAATCAAATGGTTAACTCATTTCATTTAAAGGTCTTAACCTTTCAATACAAATTCCTCTTCCTATATAAAGGCTAAGTTGTGACACATTTCAACACACAACATTTTACTACTTTCTTTCAAATACTTTCCTTTCAATTCTTCGATTCTTCCAAAGTCATTTTCCAATGATAGATAAAGACAAAGATTGTGTTTGATTGTTCACTACGGTTGTGCTTACTGTTGTGAATGTTTGTTGTTGTATCCTAGGAGACCGACGTCCAACGTTACTCAAAGCACCGAGGAGATGACGAATCTGTCTTAAGGAAACTGTTTGTTCAGGCCTCAACAAAACTCTTCTTCTATTTATTCAGTTACATCTGATTATAGGTTCTATTTTAATTCACATTTTTTTTAACTTTATTATTGAAATGAAATTTTAGATTATAATACTACAACACTATTTTTCAATATTTTGCAACATTGTGATCGTAAACACTTTGGAGAGTATCGAAGGCAGATGCTTGTTTTCGATGTGGGTCTATAGAATTTCATATGTGAGATTATCCTTGAAGAGTGGAGTCTCCTCAAGTTTAGGATTCATTCTTTGCTCCTAATTAAGATTGTAGTTGTGGTGGTAGAGGTGCATGTAGTTTCGAAGGTAGACATTCTGAGTAGAGATTGATGGTTAATTCGAGATCTACTCCAATTGAGTTCAGTGAATCAACGAGTATATACATTGTGCGAGCCTCAGGATGTGGCTTGACTGATGTGATCACAAGTACTATTATGTTATAATTATTTCCACTGTATTCTTTGATTAATTCGGGTCCATCACATTCCAACTTTTTTTGTGTGATTTGGTGGTGGATCGTTTAAGGATTTTGATTGAGCCTAGGGATTTGAGTGTAGTTGTGAAAAGTGCCTTTGGTGATAGTGTTCTAGTGAGATAAGTGTATCAAAGGTGTCCATTGATGATACGTGGGTGTATCTTTCCTGTTGAATTGATAAAGTTGTCGTTTTGAGATTAGGATATTATCTTAATTAAATAAAAATGAGAGTGATTAAATATTATATTTTTTAAATTTAATACTAAAAGATATATAAAATTCAAACGAATGATCAATCATATAGTTTATCTTTAAAATAGTTTTGAACCTAGCTAACGTGAGTTGAAATTTCAGTTCCAAAATTGAGTAAGAAGTTACAAAGATTGAACCCGAGATGTTGGATGCCTACCCTTCCATGGAAGTGTCATAGCGTTCTCATGCGCCTCAAAGTTTTGGCAGCTGCTTTGGAAAATAAGTACCCAGCACCCAAAAACACAACCCAAATGCCCACATCGAAGGCCCAGCTCACTTCCTCCGCCGTGCCAGTACACATCTCCTCCGCCCCACCACAATCTCCTTCCATACCCCCACCGTACGTTTCCGCACAATTGCAACAACACCCGCTGTTGGATTCACGCTCCTCTGGAATATCCTCCAGCTTATCAAAACCAACCCTCCTATTCTTCCTCGCAACCATCTCAACCCTCTCTTCCATCTCCATGTCTCCATCCACCGCCACGCATACATCCGCCACCGCCCCTTCACCTCCAACCGTTTTTCCATCCCTTTTCTTTAGCGCGCACTTGCACTCCATCTTCCATTTCTGTTCCTCTCTTCTGAAAATCCCTTTCAACACTTTCTCCTCTCCCGAATAAACCTCGAACCCGACCCCATTACCGGCTCGAATCCGCTCCCGGCTCCCGTATATTGCTTCTCTGTTTCGCGTCTTCACATTAACCATCCGATGGAGAACCAAGAACGCGGAGGAATCAGACCGCATGGTGGCTCCGGAAACTTCAAGTGTCGATTCGTTGATTCTTATTGGGAAGAGCAGAGTGAGGGAATTGGATGATGGATCCGTACAAGAATCAAAACCCGATAGCCGAATAAAAAAAGCTTTGATTTTTAATAGGTTTTGATCGGAGCACCGGAAGTTGTAATAATCCGTAGACCTACACATTTTTTTGGAGGCTTTCAGAAATAATTTTGAAGGGATTGACTTTTATTTTGAAAGAAGAGGCTGTGGAGGCGGCCGAGTAGACTCGGTTTTGAAGAATCAAACCAGTGGCGAGAACACGGTTTCTGATGCTGGTGTGAATAAAATGACAAATTCCCACGTTGTCGGAATTGTCAAAGTTTAATTTTTAGAATTTTATTTATATAGAGTTAATTGTATAATATATTTCTAACTATGACTCTCATTCTAAATTAATCTTTAAACTTTTGACTATTTCAATTTCATTCCAAACTATTACTCTAGTTCTAAATTAATCCTCAAAATTTTAGACATTTTAAATTCATTCCAGAAGTATGACCCTCATTCTAAATAAGTTCCCCAAACTATTGGACATTTCAATAACATCTCCCAAAATCATTGAAAAGCTTGAAGATCAAACTGTAATATTTAAAAGTTTGGGAACTAACATAAAAATAAGATTATAGATTGGGGGTGAATTTAAATGTTTAAAAGTTTAAAAATTAATTTAAAATTAAAGTAAAAGTATTAGTATGAAAATAAAATTAGAATGTTCAAAAGTTTGATAATCAATTTAGAATGAGAGTTGTAGTTTAAGGATGTTTAATACAATTAACTCATTTATATATAAAACCATCATCAAGAAATGGACAATTTATATCTTATACAATGATTCCAGGATAGGTTTAGGGTTGGGGCATCTTTCTTAAAATAATTCAATTTTTAAAACATAGTAAGAAACATTGCCCTTATATTACTTAATTTGAGTTTGCTAAAAGTATTCTTTAGGTTACTATAATAATATTTAGAGCAATCAGCAGAACTTACAAATTTTTTTTTGAGTAATAAAACTTACAATATTAATGAAGGGTGATTTGGCCTCTGCATATTCTGTTATAAAATTTTCAAAGCATAGGCCGTGGACAGCAAAAAGTTGTAGCAGCCGAGCCTGCGGGAGGCTATTGTAGAACTGTAAATGAGACAACATAGAATAAAAACTGTTTGAGTTGAACTCGATTAAAGCTTAGTCAACACTCGAATTGATCGAACTCGATTCAAGTTCTTATAAAGTCAAAACAAACTACTTGATACTCGACTCGAAAAGCTTGCGAGTTACTTAAGATTCATGCTTAAACTCGAGTTCGAGCTTGAACCGTGCTCGAGTTTGAGCTTCAATCGAGCTAAATCTAAGAATATTTCGAGTTTAAATTTTTTCGTGCTTGAGTCAAGTTTCAACTTTTGATTTCAAGCTGAACTTGAAAATTTAAAGCTTGCGAGCTTTCGAATCGAGCTCAATTTTATACTTTTCAAGTTAAGTTGAGCTCAACAATACTCGAGCTCGACTCGATGACTTGGGAATATTGCTTTCTAATCCCTTTAAAATTAATGAAATATGAATTAAATATAATGGTAAAATTACAGTTCACCCCCAAAAACTCAAAGTTGAATTCCAATCCTCCAAAAACGTAAATTGTACAACATACCGTATGAGTAGCATTCGTGTTAGTCAAGATGAGATGCGTAGTTACTAAATCTAATAGAGTTGAAGTGTGTAAACTAATTCAGTTCTACATAGCGTAAGCATGTCAGCTGAGATGCCAAATAAATAATTTGGCAGCAAAGTTAGCATAACACCAACAGTTTTTGATGATATACAGCGCAAGTCAAATTAGATCCGACCAAAACTGAAGGCATGAAGATAAACTAAACAAAAGATGAAAGCTCGATACGTAAAACAACGATTAGCCCGTAATGATACCCACCAGAATATCAGTCTTACCTCGTGCATAAATCGTGTAAACTAAAAGGATGGCGTCAAGCCATCCATCAAGTGATTCCCACGAGTCAGCTACCTGAAAGAGAGCAGAAAATACTCGCTAAAGCTGGACTACCATTACCATACATGCATGTATTGTTAAGATTGCATCTAAATGATAAATATGTGGCCTGCTTACCTAATTTTATAAGGTTTACCATCGGTATTAAAGGAATCATTCATTCAGTGAGGAGAAAATAACCTCAGTGACCAAAAATCCCAGATAATATACGATTTTGACCAACTTTTTTTGGATTTGCGAAAATGACCAACAAAATCGCAATGCGATCTCTAATTCGCATTGCGATCTCCACTATCGCAAATTCGCGTTGCGATTTTTCATTTCGCGTTGCGATTTTTCAGTTCGCGTTGTGATTTTCCATTTCGCGTTGCGATAGTTGAAAATCGCGTTGCGATAGTTGAAAATCGCAAAATCGCGTTGCGATTTTCCATTTCGCGTTGCGATAGTCTACAGTTGTCGTTGCGATTTTCCAAATTCGTTGCGATAGTTAAAAAAAAATATTTTGTTTCTCTAAAAAGATAGTATCCGCGCGGACGTGTCGAAGACACGTATTACCACGACCACGACCACGACCCGACCCGAGACGAGACGGACGGCGACGGCGGCGCGCGAGAGTCCCCCTTGTTCTCTATCACTCAACAAGGAAGTGAGAAAGCCAAGCCTTAAATACTATTCCCAATAGTGTTTCCAATACTATGTGGGATTTGAGCATTACCAACACTTGTTGTAACACCCCCAACCCGTATCCGACCCGGATACGAGTCCGAAGTGTCACATTGACTTTTCAAACATTTATTCGTATAAAATAGTGAGTAATTTAAAAACTTTAATAACATTTAAATTATTTCAAAACGTTTACAACAGATATCAGAGTTCATACCATTTATATCTTTAGACTACATGCCAACTACACTCTGTAAACAGTACATACATTTTCTGATCTGACATTTGGTAAGGAGAACTGACCTGTCTTGCTCCGCATTACTCTTTATTCTTCTCGAAACCTACGTGTGAAACAATCACACGCTAAGTCGTTGACTTAGTGAGGCAATAATTAAACATATAACAATAAATTCATGAACGTGCATTCATACCATTGAATCATGACATTTCAATATGCATGTATCTATTGCATGATAACAATATATATAATCATGTCATACACACACGCAACATACCTTCTTGTATTACTTTCACTTTTCGTTTGTCTTCCAATTTCATTGCACATGTATATTATTATCTTTATCAACATTTATAATTCAAGCAACACATGAATATCACCAAAGTATATACATCACATATATTTATACATTACATTCCATGTTATCTCTTATTAGCCCATGTGCACCTGTGAGAACTGTAGATATGTGAGTCTATTGAGGTTGTGCACCACTATGCTGTCACCACAGCTCATATAAATGTCCCGAAGGACCTATCCAGAGGTCACAAAGACCCCGGTAACTATCCAGAGGTCATAAAGATCCTCGGTAACTGTCCAGAGGTCATAAAGATCCTCGGTAAACTGTCCATAGGTCCGAAGAACCTAGGTAAACTGTCCATATATCTCGAAGACATAGGTAAACCCTCGACTCTTGGCATGCCAACTATACCTATAGCTCTCGTATCATATAACATGGGCATTATATTCATATCATTCACATATTCAAATGTACATTTCACTTTTCGTATGATTTCATAATCATCTGTAACGTAGCTTATAACACTTCTCTTGTGTTCATCTGGCATGTAACTCATTGTCATCTATTCTCATATGATTCTCATACACCAAGTATATCACATAGCACATAGTATAACCTATAAACTTATACAGGTATCCATATACATACTTTCATACTTCGGATAACAATGCCCTATAATTCTCACAGTTTTGCCTAATCACTTATTCAATTAATTATATCTAGTTTCATATTACTTAATTCAATTTCACATAGCTTGTTACCTATATAAATATTTCTCATAACTTATCATCACATAGTTCCCATAACATTTCCTATAGATTCATAAATCTTTACCATATGACTCATGTATTATATGTTCATTTCAGCTCATATCATTTCCATATAACTTATTTACATGTTCATATAATCACTTCTGTCAATGTCTCCTCATTATATATTATTCTTATATTGCCCTACAAATCAATGTTATTTAACTTATCTCACTTTTCATCTAATCTCATAAGTTGGTTATACAATTCCTATATATATATATATATATAATAAAAAATATTAATTTATAACTTGTTATCATATAAATCATTGCTATTTTACATAATTCATGCTCTATAATTTATATCTCAGGTCATATAACTCATCTAATTCCTATAATACATAAATCATTGTCATATAACACATCATATAAATTCATACCACCTAACATGTAATACAACTAAACATATTCATGTAATATAAACATAATCATACAATCATATATTCAACATATTGGAAACAGACTTGTCGCAAGTCAAATTTCCATACACAATACGTATTCTAATAGTACGCACTCACCTGGCCTCACTAGTCAATATCGATCTGTTATCTTTCCTTGATCGATCTTACTTGCCAAACGTTCCGGAATTGCTTTATGCGTAGAATCTACATACATGTACATTTTGAGGCAATCATTAGATACTACACCTTGTAATGGACTAGCAACTTAAACGAATTTATTAAACCAATATTCACATTTCCTTTAGGGGGAATCGGTTCCCTACTATGGGGGTATCGATTCCCTCAAGACATTCTGGAATTCTGTCGTTTGAAGGGGTATCGGTTCCCTTGAATGGTACCGATTCCCCTTGCCCAGAAATCATATTTTAGCTCGAAAATTACTTCATTTCCACTCAAACACTTCATATATTATCCCCTTTTCATTTTAACTCTAGTACACATACTTAAACTAATCTATATTCATTTATTTCATCTTAAACCTCAAAATCCTATCTTC